GAGAGAGAGAGAGAGAGAGAGAGAGAGAGAGAGAGAGAGAGAGAGAGAGAGAGAGAGAGAGAGAGAGAGAGAGAGAGAGAGAAAGGGGGGGGACGAGTTCGTTACGCCTTTTTTTTCTTTTTTTTTTTCTCGTTTTGGAAAGCGAAAACGAAAATGAATATGCATTCCCGTTGGTGAACTCTTTCTTTCTATCTCTGCCTTTGTCTCTGTCTCTCTTTTTCCCTCCCTTCGTTTCTCCCGCGTGACTTTGTTTTTTACCTTTTGTTTTTTTTTCTGTTTGATTTTTTTTTATTAATTTCTTTGTTCTTTCATTCCGTGGTGTCGTGTCGAGTGAACCGGGGCCCGACCTTAAAGCAGCGATCGAACCTTCCCTTGGCCGACCCCCGAAGGTGTCGGCGCGTTAATGGGAAAGACCGACCGCCGATAGCTGGACTGATGGTTTAAATTTCGTACGTGGGTCAGTAGCTCGGTAGAGATACGTCCCTAAAGGTGGTGAGAACCCCGAAGGGAAGGTAAGTTGTGCCCGTGGGAACTTAGGGGACCGCCGAAAGTACAACTAGTGCACCCGACTAGAGTGGCGAAGGGATGACACGACCGCATCCATCTCAGCGGTTCGCAGGGTTGTTTTTCATCGTTCCCAAGTTGTCTCTGTTTTTGTGTTGTTTTTTGTGTGACATGGCCGGGAGGGCTCTCACGTTTTGCAAAAAAGGCGGGAGTTGATGCGCTTGACAGCGGTTGGAAAAATTGAGCGTGGAGGCTTGATGGGATCCCAAAATGACCTTCTGCGCTCAGAAGTTTCCAGCCGCCGCGCCGTGGGGTCCAAGCCTTAGGGTCGGGTCTGAACAACAGGTTGCAGAACTCTAAATATTCAACCACATGGACCGTCCTGGCACTACTGTATTCATGGACTTCGAGGGCTTGTACCATTCAGCCACATGCACCGGGTGCTAGATTGACCTTACCTTACTTCCCTCAGAGGTGGCACCCGCCTTTAGGGGGAAGTGAGTGCCGCCTGTCAGTCGCAAGTACGCCCCCACAACCCACCTAGGGTCTTTTCCGTTGGCTCCAGCGCAAACGACGGTCCTCTATCGTAGAATGGACTAATCTCATGGCAAGACGGTCCTCCGTCAATGGTCCTAGCACAGGGCGGTTTGCGCTTGGCCCTAGATCTCGTCCGATTCTGCAGAAGAGTGGCGGGGAAGCCAACGGGGGCTAGGTCCCACTTGCATAAATTAAAAGATCTTGACCGTCGATACCGAAGATCAACGGCCGAAATCTCGTAATCCGTGCAAATGGGACCTTGCCCCAGAGAGGTTTTCGTTTCGTTGTTTCCCCGCTGGTGGTGGCAAATGCGGGATTTGTTTTCTTTTCCTTGTTCCCGCTTTTGTCATCTGTGCTCCAGGGTTTAGGGGTGGCAGGAAGAACAGGAAAGCCTCTGGTGGTCTGGGCGAGGAGTGGCAGATGTGGCATTTGTGGGTGTTGGGATTGCATGGAGGGGGGAGAGAAAAGTAGCAGGAATCAATGGCTTAGGAGTGCCCATGCACCTCTCGTACGCGGCTGTTCATTTTGAGATCGCACCTGGGCGGCGGGACTGCATGCTGTGCGCCTGTCCCAGCAGGCCAATCCCAGCGGCCACACAGAGAGCGCGCCAGGCACGTCCAACTTGTCCTTCGTGAAGTGAAACCCCGCCGTACCGGGGTATGATTAGACAGATCAATTAACCTCTCCCCTATTCTACGATTAGTTGTTGATCTGGGTTTGTTACTTGTTTGACTGATCTGCCGCCATCTCGTAGTTACGCGTAGTACTTAGCAGTTCTTCTCTCTCTCTCTTTCTCTCTCTCTCTCTCTCTCTCTCTCTCTCTCTGTGTCTCCAAATCAGTTGATTACGTGCCCTTACTTTCTGTGTGAGAGACAGTTCTTGACTGCTCTCTCGTTGATCACTCCCCTTCTCTCTTACACACACACACACACACACACAGAGGCTAGCACACATACATACGCAAATACATACACACATACATACATACACATACACTCACACTCGATTGATTAGTCCTTCTCTTTCCACCATCGGCACTTCTTCTTGGTTGCTATTCCCCCTTGTAATTACGCGCGCGCTGATCTTTCCCCTTCTCCTTACCAGTTTTCCGCGCGCTTTCTCTCCCGTCCCCCCCTCTCCCTCTCCCTCTCCCCCCCCCCTTCTCTCTCTCCTTTTCTCTTGATCGCCTGATTTTTAAGCCACTCTCCCCTTGTCGTCGTCAATACATCGTCTTGACTACTCGCATGCTGACGTGGCAATCATTCAATCAAACCTTCATAACGGATTTCCGGGCTCGCCGGTATCTTCGTCCCCGGCGGCTGATCGCGTAGCTGCCGGTCGTTGATCGAAGCCACGTTTCCTTCGTTGATTGATTGATTGATTGATTGATTACCCCGTTGATTGATCGGTTCATCATTTAAATAAGAAAGATCGGTACTGTTTTCTTTTTCTTTTAGCTGAGGAGGAAGAAAAAAAGCCTCCTGGGCAGCCGCGTGGACTGGTGATCCTCTCGCCATGGGTAAGAAGAAGAAGAAGGCATTCAAGCCATGGTGTTATTACTGCGAAAGGGAGTTTGATGACGAGAAAATTCTCATCCAGCATCAAAAGGCCAAGCATTTCAAGTGCCACGTGTGCCACAAAAAGCTCAGCACAGCTGGCGGCATGGTCGTCCACGTGTTGCAAGTGCACAAAGAGAACGTTGTCAAGTACGTGAGCTGTACATCAAGATTTACGTCTGCCTTCTAGCACCTCCTTTTCTCCCCTTCCCTCTTCCCTTCCCTCTCCCCTTCCCTCTCCCCTTCCCTCTCCCCTTCCCTCTCCCCTTCCCTCTCCTGCCCACTTGATCTCTGCTTTGTCAGTCTGCAACTTCTGACGCCCTGGCTTTCCGTCGTCTTTCCTTCTCCCTCTTCTCCTCCTCCTCCTCCTCCTCGTCCAACCTATCTGTCCATCCCGCTTCCGCTGTGCTTTGTCTGTCCGCCTCTTCACTCCTTCTCTTCCCTCCTCCTCTTCCTCCTACTCCCTCTCCTTCTCGTCCTTATCCTTTTCTGTTCTTTTGTCTTGTCCTGTTCAGTTTTCATACACTTAGGGCATTTCGATCCGTTCCTTTCTTCGTTCTGCGTCTCCTTCCCCTTCCCCAATCTCTGCCTAGGTCTCTCTATCCCCCCCCCCTCTCCCCCCCCGAGAACCCCCCACCCTTCCTCTATCCCTCTCTCTCGTCTCTCTTCCCTCCTTCCTCTCTCCTCCTGTCTTCTTCTTCACTCTCCTTCTCCTTACCTCCTCCTCTCTCCTCCCTTTTCGTCTTCCTAGTCGAGCTTCCCTCCTTTTCGTCTTCCCTGGTCTGCCACCCTCCATCGCCGGTCATATGATCCTACCGTCTTCCCCCGAACACAACGCAGCCTGACCAAGACGGTACCGAAGCAGAAAGATTGCATTTCTACTTTCATAATCAGGGTGCGTTATGTTCGGGGGAAGATGGTAGGTCGCAGTTGACGTGCCGTGGAGGAGGAAGGAGATAATGACATGCGAGAGGAGGATGGTGACCATATACATATATATATATACTAAACTCAACTTAAGCTCCTACGTGTCTTTTTTTTTTTTTTCTGGATTTTGCTGTCTTCGTTGGGTGCTGGAGGCGCCTGTTTTGGTCAGCGGGGCCGAGCCCATGTGCTGCTCGGTACACCCACTGTTTATGAACAGAAGCATGACGATAGGATTATGCTCGTACGAGCTTTGGCTAGTTGAGCCGTGACGAAATGGCGATGAAAGCGACTTACCTAAACAGGTAATTGCTGTGTATGAGGGCGGTGGATGCGGTGTGGCAGTGGGCAACAAGGACATGTGGAGAATGTGTTGTATGAAACGGCCTAGATCCCAGAAATCCCGTTAGATTCAGAGTCGTGGTAGTATTACCCTCACGGTAGTACTCATCATTCATGTCGACAGGAACAGAAAAGGATGGGTGATCAGCATGCTGTTCTTTTTGGGTTCTGTTTTTGTCGTTTTTGTTGTTGTTGTTGTTGTGTTAGGCTAGAGAGAGGGCTTGGTGTTGGTATTGTTGTTGTTTTATACGCTAAGGGAGGGCTTGGTGTTGGTATTGTTCTTGTTGTCGTTGTGTATTTGATCCCTTTCATTCCGGATTTATTTTAGCTTCATCTCGTCTCTTGTCTTGTGATGGGCTGCAGTATTTGTCGTCGTGGTCTCTATTGTGAAGATGATGAAGGCGGTTTGATCGGAATATGAAAGTTCTCATCGATTACATGTGATAGGAAGAGGACGGAGATCGGGGGGGGGACCTGGTAGAGATGGCAACGGCACTTGTGTGAGGGCGGCGGCGGATATGAGAGAGCTAATTACTTTACCCATACCCATGTATAGATATATATGGCTCGTGCACCTTCTTAGGTGCGAAACTGCAGACACGAGCAGACGGATCTCTCAGATTGAGTGTGTTTGATAAGACCGTTGCATGGGATTTTCCTGTTATACGATATCCTAGTGCAACGTCGAACATTCCATCTCATCAGCCTGCAGGTGTGTTCACTGGCCTGCTTACGCGGTTTGAGCAGATCTGTGACAATTGGCGTGATTTCAAAACGGCAGCAACCATGCTTGTCCGCCGTTTGCTCTCGCGTGGTCATGCTCCGTCAACACTGGC